TGTGACTTGTCTTTTCATTCTCTTATTAGTATCTTTGCAGGGAAAAAATTTCTTATTTTGATAAATTCTAATTTTTCAATGGATTGTGCTTTTGATGTAGTATCTAAAAATCGATTTCATTGATTCAAGGTCACATAGATTTCTCCTATGTTTTCTTCTAAAAGTTTAAGAGTTTTACCTTCTACATTTCTGCATAGAAAAGTTTCTGGAAGAATATGTATCTATAAAAATTATTAACAGTGGTTTCCTTTGGAGAGGTGTTATAGATGATTTTTTTTTCACTTTCTACATTGTATCTTTGTGAATCACTAAAAATGAGCACTTATTTTAATAAAATTGATCATCAAAACAATGACATAATTTCCATTTTGGAAAATGTTAATATAATGTACATATAGCTGTACTGCAAAGTTACATATGACCTTTGTAGCTATTTGATTTCCCTGGATGTAACCCCCAGGGTAACCCTAAAGAAGCTGTTTGTTCGTAGGATAGCAGACTATCCATATTCTAATCGTGGTTTTGATCTTCCCACTGGATGGTGAGGTTGATGGACACATTACAGGTGAAGTTCAGGCAGCAGGCTGTATCTGCAGGAACATTGACTTGGAGTCAGAAGACCTTGGTTCAGGTTTAGTATTGGCTTCTCTTTTCTGTTTCTGTTTTTTCCTCAGTAAAATTGGGCTTCATTTATCAAACAATAAAGATTTATTATTATTGTGTGTACGCCCTGTGGCTGGGTTCTAGGGGCCCAAGCTCCTGTCCTGCTTCCCTCACAATGGTGATGGAAGAATCAATTCCTACAGGAACAAAAATATAGCAGGAAATGCAATTCCAGGCACTGAGCTGTACTTTCAGTGGTTTTAATAAGTAGAAGGCATGAGACTGGATCCATTATAAAGCAAGTAGTATAATATATTGGTTAAGAACTCAGGCTCAGCAGCCAGATTGACTGAGTTCAAATTCTAGCTCTACCAGGATTTGGGGAATGTTCCTTAATATCTCTTTGATTCAGTTTTTCTCCATTTGTAAGGTGGGAATAAGAATCATACATACCTTGCATGGTTGTCATAAAGAGTAAATGAGTTACTATGTGTAAAACACTTGGAATAGTGCCTGGCATATAGTAAGTACTCAATAAATATTAGCTATTATTGTTATTGAGATGGAGACACAGGTGTTGCTAACACAAATGTGACCAAGTTGATACTGGGGTGATCTGACCTTGACAATTTTTTCTCTACTTGTGGTCATTGTCATCTGGCCAACTTGGTCAGTGCCCACCTACCTACTCTTGCTAATTCATGAACATCCCCCAAGGTTTTATGTGCCATTGGCAAGAATGATATTCCCAGCTAGAGAAGGGAGTTCCAGAAGCAACTACTGGAAGCTCCAGACCAGCTCTCTAGGTCCATGCGCAGAAGATGGGGTAGTCTGCTCCCTAGTGGGAGCTATTGATTCCGCTCCTTATTTTAAGAGGTGCGGCACGTTTGTCTTATTGTCACAATCATGCGTGGCTTCCATTCCCCATCTTCACATGGCCCAAGATAGCTGTTAGATTTCCAGTCATTCTGTCTACGTTTGTGTTTTTCTCAATGATTTCTGCAGTCTGAGTAAGGAAATAAGCCCTTATATTGGGCATATATGTTTTGCAAATATTTTCTGTCATATGTATTCCAAATAACTTGGCCCATTTATTATGTCTTTTGTTCTCAATTTGTTTTTCTAACATGAAAACGTTCTCCTCTCCAGAGAAAAATCTGCAGGTATCTTTTCCCTACTTTTACTACTAGAGTAGGTCAAGGAAAGCTCCGTGGGTGGGAAGCACACAGCAGGTGAAGCGGGCAGGGAAGAGTGTTGTCAGCAGAGGGAACGGCATGTGTGTGAGTCGTCTCTATTTCATCTCTCCCCCTTCGCCCCTTGCCACTGACTTACCTCCTTGGCCATTTCTGATCCCACACAGCAGGCTTGCCCTTGATCCATTCTGGCTGCTATGGTTTGAATATTTGTGCCTCCCCCCTCCCCCCCAATCAATTCATATGTTGAAATCCTAATGCCCAATGTGATGGTGTCAGGAGGTAGGGTCTTTGCGGGGAGGGGCTGCTTAGGTCATGAGGGTGGAGCCCTTGTGAATGGGATCAGTGGTCTTATAAAGAAGACCCCACAGAGCTCCCTTGGCCCCTCCCCATGTGAGGACACAGTGAGAAGTCTGGGACCGGGAAGGGAGCTCTCACTGAACTTGACCACGCTGGCATGGCACGCTGGTGTGGTCAGGTTCGGTGAGATCTCAGACTTCCGGCTTCCAAAACTGTGAGTAATAAATCTCTGTTGTTTATAAGCCATCCAGTTGGTGGTGTTTTGTTTTGGCAGCCTGAACAGACTAACACACTGGCCTTGACTATTGCTTTCAGCTTAGCCCCTTTCCCCTTTAACTGGACTGTGTCGAGGGTCTCAGTGTTTTTAGTCTAAAGTGAGAATTTGCTGTGCTAGCTCATCCAGTCACAGATTGGCTGGGTTGGATGGAGTGTAATGGTGATAGAGGATAGATAATATGAAATAAAATGATGGCACTTCTTCCTTTTTTAGCAGGAGCTTAGAATGGCAGCCTCTCATGAGAAGGGATGTTGTTTTGGCACATGACTGACATTTATAGTTCAGTATGTGCCCACCTTCTCAGTCTTTACATCAGTGAAGGACTTCATGAACACCCATACTGACCAGTATATAAGTTGGTTTAGGCAAAATTATGCTGTGGTATAAAAAGAGTCCTAAAATCTAAGTGGCTTACAACAAACATTTTGCACGTGGATGTGACTAACGCTAACTGGCTTTGGCCCAGCTGTGTTCCAATGTCTTCTCACTCCAGGACCCAAACTGAAGGAGAGACTTTGTCTGGGACATGCTGCTCGCCTAGAAGGAAAGGAGAAAGATGGTGGAGCCACATGATGGCTCTTAAAGCTTATGTTTGGAAGTGGCAAATATTACATCTGTTCACATACCACCGGCCAAAGCAATTCTACAGCCAAGCCTGAGGTCAATGTGGAGGGAGGATACTTTATGGGAAGAGGCAATAAATATTTTGAACAAATAAACATTCATCACAGCCAGCAGTATTACTAGTCCCATTTTGCAGGTGAGGAAACTAAGGCTAAATGAGGTAGCTTCATCAAAATCAAAGATTCAAACTCAGCTCTGTCTGGCTCCAAAGTTGGTCCTTTCTACCATGCAGTCTTTGGGGAGGAACTTTTATGTTTTAGTAGGCACCTGGAATTCTAATTTATTCAGGGGCACAACCACTTCTCATCAGCCCCAGAAGATTCTCCATAAAAATTTCTAGAGCTAAATCACTTTTGAAAACTTCCTGGAAGGATACAAAGCTAGAAAGGGGTCAGGCTTAGGGAATTGTCCTGGTGAGAGCTTACTTTATGCCATTTACTAATTTTTTAAACTGTTGAATTATTTATCTGCTTTATGGGTTTGTAGATCCTTTGAACAGGGATCACCTATTCACCTATTGATCACCCTTTGTTTTTGTTTTTCTTGTGTGTGTGTGTGTGTGTGTGTGTGTGTGTGTGTGTGGTGTATCTGAGTTCCTCAAAGCTATTATTCTCTAGGTCATTTTAGAAATTTCCAGATTGCACTGGACATTTGTAGTCACAAAGTTATTAGTGGAGTGGAGAGAGTGCAACTTTTGCTAAAGACCAACAATTTTAAATTTAGGAATATAGTTGCAGTGGGGGTGGGGGTAGAAATTACAGTCCACACAGAATATTTCGCTATGTTTATAAATATCTGTTGATTTCAGTGCAGCTTACCGGTTTTAGAACCTCTAGTTCCCAGCTGCTTGGTACTGTATAACATGTGTAGATGCTGACTTGCCAGGTTTGTGTGTGTCCATTGGGATGGGGATTAGTAGGAGGCAAGTGAGGTGCCTAAGGCACCCAATTTAAGGAGGCAGTTGCAGAAACCTGAGTGTTTTCTTGCGTTACTCCAGTACCGGCCCTGGTGTCCATTATGCATTTACCATAACTCTGGAGCGCGAAAATGCCCGGGGCGAGCTTACCTGTGAGAATCACCTGCCCTCACCTCCCCTCCTGGAAACGCAGGCGATCCTAGAGGACCTTTTGCCATGTTAACTTTGCTCCGCCAGTGAAGCTCATTTCCAAGTGACTGTGTACGTGTGTCTGCCCCAAGCTTGGTGCGGAAGACAGAGACGGAGCGTGCGTTTGTGCCTGTGTTAGGCCGGGCGGGTCCATATCCGGGTGGACAGGGTGGGTGGGGCCGCCGCTCTCTCCAGGTCCCGAGGTGGGTTGGGGGTGGGGAGTGACGCGCCGAGATTCCCTTTCGCCCCTTCGGATCCGAGAGGGGGCGTCAGAAGGAGCACGAGAGGTGTCAGGGCGTGCCCACCCTGCGGATCTGCTCCCCGGAGCGCCCCTGGCCCCCAGACCTGAGCGGCCGCTGGGACTCGAAAGAGCAGGAGGAAGCCGAGGAGGGCTCAGCGAACCGGCCACCCGCTCCGAACTTGCCGGGGAAACTAGTACGGAGGGAGGGGCCGGGGCCGGGACCGCGGCGGGAGGAGGGGCGGCCGCAGCTGCATCCAGCCCCGTTGGCTTCCTTCCCAGCTCTCCTTCGCCTCCTCCTCCTCTTCCTCCTGTATGAGTCAGGCATTTCCCAGGGATTTGGAGCAGCCACGCGCGGCCCGGGCGCCCGGAGCTGTAGCAGCCGCCG